ATAGATAGATAGATAGATAGATAGATAGATAGATAGATAGATAGATAGATAGATAATATTTGTATATCACAAATTCTTGCTCAGCAATGAGCTCTATGCACCTTACAATCTATATTAGCAAAGCTTTAGATTTATCTCAGGGCTGTTTGAGAAGAACCTATTTTACAGCTCCTTCAGGTCGTACAGAAGATTGTCATTTTTACCTCCCATAACGGGCCTCATTCATAATGTAGGTCTTCCCCCCCCCCGAAAGGGGAGCTTCGTCCTTGCTTGTCCAAGCCAACCCGGACTTGGTGAGGATAAAGGTCCCAGCAGAAAGACTGAGATACTCGAAAGAAATTCTCCCCAAACGAGAATCGAACTTAAATCTTTGGCGCGCGACGACAAAGTGCCTAACAACTACCGTACCCTACAGAGTGCCGATACAGTCTTCTAGAAGTAACTAATTAAAAATCTGTGCATAACTTAGAGAAACAAATAAGATTAAGAAGAAATTTGTTTCGGACCACACTCTCTTCTTATTAACTATCTGCCCACGTCATAAACATAGTTTAATGATTTGATGCCTCCATCGACACATTTTATATTATGTAAGAGGAGGGCTTACCTGCCATGGTCAAGCCGAACTGAGACTGATACAATGTCCCAACGAAAGAACAGGGATGTTAGATACTAAAATGATCCTCGAACGGGGAGCACTCTCAAGTCTTCTTCGAACGACGGTGAAGTGCATTACGGCTACATCACAAACACCGGTCCAAGTTTGAAACAGGGTTAGAAAGTCACCTGTTTAAACCTAGTCTTATTTGATATGAAGTACTTGATAATTCTTCACTGCATAAAAGTCTAACACTTATTTGAGCTTTTCTTATACAATGTAAATATTGGTGAATTCTTGCAAGTGAGTGCGCGGAATGAGATATGATATATACTAAGCGAGAAAGTGTGTGTGTGTGTGTGTGTGTGTGTGTGTGTGTGTGTGTGTGTGTGTGTGTGTGTGTGTGTGAGAGAGAGAGAGAGAGAGAGAGAGAGAGAGAGAGAGAGAGAGAGTGTGTGTGAGTGAGTGAGAGACAGAAAGACAGAAAGACAGACAGACAGACAGACAGACAGACAGACAGATAGACAGACAGACAGACAGACAGACAGACAGACAGACAGACAGACAGACAAACTGAGGGGAGGCAGTCAGACAGACACAGGCACACATACAAACATACACTCACACATGCAGACACATACACACTCAGAGGTTTTTTCTGTAAAATATGTTTTGGTCCGTAAATCACCATGAACCACTATGGTATCGGTACTACATAACTGGTCGCTATATTATGTCAGACATGGAAAAACTTTGTGGGGCTGGTAGCCTATAGTGATTAGATTACCGGACTCTTAATCCTGACATTGAGTGTTCAGGGGTTCCATACCCAACTCGGTTCGACGTTGCGTCCTTGGGAAAGGCACTTTACCCCGATTTTCCCATTTGGCTCGGTCTTATCTGAGAAAGCTGTTAAAAATAGGAGAACTCGCTTCTTTAACTACATTAGTGTCGCAAGAAGCGTTAAACCTATGCAATTTTACACATTTCTTTTAACCAGCATTTTCCCACGAACCTATTATTGTAAAGTTTTACGTCACTTTTTTAACCCAATCCTTTCGCCCTGGGGTCATGTTGTACTCCCGGGGTTGTATTCTTCACATTTTAGAATACTTCTAGTACGAAAATCTCTTTGAAACTTTCAGCATTTCTCAAAATATCAATGACAGATTGCTATGAAAAGCGTACGGATCGGAAAACGAGTAAATTTCCTCTTTGGAAAGTGGTGGCGCAGAGTTCCCCTCGTTGTATGGATACGATTGTAAAACACGATGTACGGATAGGGTTAAAACGTAGGTACTTAACTACTTGGTGCCTTCACGCCGACGTCAAACATCCTTCAGCCGGGACAAACCCATGTTCTGACTCGTCAACAATCGCCTGCAGTCCACTCAATGATAATAATTGTGAGAGTGGCTACATCCGACCCTCGTCACGACATTCAGAAAGCAAGGCCAAGGAGCATGTTGTGTTTGTTTCTGTGCTTGTAGTCTGCTGTCTGTTTGTACGTGCGTGCGTGCACTCACTCAAACACACACACACACACACACACGCACACACACACACACACGCATACGTACATACACACATACAAACACACACACAGACACACACACATATATATATATATATATATATATATCTAATATATATATATATATATATATATATATATATATGCAGATATACATATAATAAACATTATATATATATATATATATATACTAGCGAGCAAAAGAAACGCAAAAAACTATTTGGGCCATAATTTTAAAAACACATATGATAAAAGACAGAAATTTACACCATTAATAGTATGTCATAGCCTCTTTGGGAATCAAAAGTTATCCGTCTTGTTTGTAACCAACAACTAGAGTTATTGCCCCTTAATTGAAGCTTGTGAAAAAGTCAAGTGGTGCTTCCGAGACACGGTCTAAATAAGAGAAAAAACGGTGAAAAATATTCACCTGAGCTCGGCTATAAAAGACGGGGTAAAAAAATCGGCTCTGTCGTTTCGCCTGCATTTGCAACGGCAATGTCACGTTTTAGGGCTATGCTACAAGAAAGAGCAATATGCTGTTTCGAAGATGAAGAAAGACCAATTGTGGTCGCCAATCATTTTGGTGTTCACATCTAGACTGTCCACAGACTGGTAAGCCGTTTTCAGCTCACGAATTCTGCGAGGACCGAAAAGGGTCAGATCGACCCAGAGTGACCGATGCACATGCGTCACGTACAAACACAGTGTCCGTATGTCTCTTTCACATCGACTTCAGACAGGCTCAAGAGCGTCTGTAGACGCCGTCGACCTTACCATGGTCCAGTCTTGACCGCGACCCATTACTAAGAGCGTCTCAGCTAGGTTCAGAACCTTGTCAACAAGCGTCTGAGAGATTGGTCCTCGGTTCTCTTTTTCGGACAAATGCCTGTTATCCATACATACCACAAACAGGGCCTTCATAGTTTATCAAGATGGAGGCGAACGTTATCGTGACAACTGTGTCATAGAGAGGAATCACTGGGGAGGTGGGGTGGAATCGTATGGAGCCACAAAGTAGGACCAATGATCTTCCAAAATCCAGGCCAAGGTCGAGGTCAAGGTATCAATGCTGCCCGCTGCATAGCAGAAGTTCTTATGCCCTTCAACATAGACAAAATTTTAACTTCCGGTTCCAGAAAAATAGTGCTTGTGCGCACACTTCTCGTGTTACACAGGATTTCCTCCAACACCCTGGCATCACTCTGCAGCCTCACCCTGCCCTTACCACGGATTTAAACCCAATTAAGAATTTTTGGTAAGAAATTAAACGACGCATCAAGGGGAGACAACCATGGGCGGCTCGAGGGGCTAAAGAGTGGACGTGCACAATTTATTAAGCTATCGCATGCTGAAGATAGTCAAGGGCAGAGTAAATGAGACTGTGTATAATTTTAGGATCTTCGGGTTGGTGAGGGAGGACCTCGTGCTTTTATTTTCATTCTTTTTTACTTGTCGCTTTAATTTCTAGCATTAAATTTGTTTCTTAGCTAAACATCCATTTCCTTCATCCTGTATTGGAACTGAACACTCAAGTACATGTAATAACTTTCACTACTCCACATCAAAACCATTCAAAGGCACAACTCATAGGACGGTCACGCTCACCCTCCTCAG